TATTCCATTTTCTATAATTGCGTTTTCTATGAAGGTCACGTTTCGGTGCACCACTTTCAACCAACCTGGAATCATTGCCGATTACGAATTATTTTTATACATTATTTTATGTTATTTATAATGAAATTTCCTCAATTATATTTATGCTTATAGATTATATGTTGTATTCTGTGTAATGTGGTTAATTTACCATTACTATAATCTTTATCATAACCTTGATTGATTGTTAACAATCTAACAATGCTACTGCCTTGTTACATCAATTGCCTTCCAATCGGAACAATACCCAATCTTATTACGTAGTCACTTGCCTGTAAGCCACCGTCATGGCAACTGCAAGTGATTTTTGTGCGGATTGTGACATGGGGTAAGTTTAAATGTTTATTATTTATATTATTAAATGTTTATGTATTTTAAAATATAAAATATTTTTGGCTTATATCATAATGGATCATTTTTTTAAATTTATTATATCATGATAGGTATGGGCACTTCTGGGAAAAGTACGGCACCCAGCCTTCCCTCTTGCTCGATCTTTGCCGTACACATGGCCTCATTTTGGAGGCCATGAAATGTCCAAAATGCGACGGCGAATGCCGTCGCGATGATAATTTAAATTCATTTAGGTGCGACAAGACCCAAAAAAAAAAATCGAAAAGTTAGATGCAATTTCAAAAAATCACTTTTTAAGAACACCTGGTTTGATAATAGTAAGCTCGATTTTGAAACTAATTTAAAATTTGTTAATTTGTATCTGCGAGAGAGGTTTTCTTACGCATCTGCACGGAGCGAGTTTAATTTCCCAAACCGGACTATTTGCGATTGGGCGAGCTTCTGCCGGGAGGTTTTAATTTTCTGGTGTTTTGAAAATCAATCCGACAAAATTGGTGGGTCAGGGGAAATTGTCGAGATTGATGAATCTAAATTTGGAAACGTAAATATAACGTAGGTCGTGTCATAGAAGGTCAGTGGGTTTTTGGAGGAGTATGCCGCAAGAGTAGGGATTTTTTCCTCGTTGCCGTGGAGACGCGTGACTCTCTCACTTTGCTTAACGTCATTAAGGAGCGTATCCACCCAGGGACAACGGTCATTAGTGATTGTTGGAAGGCATACAACTGTTAGAAAGAGGGCTATCAACATTTAACTGTGAATCATTCATATAATTTTGTTGACCCCAAAAGTAAAGCGCACACAAACACGATCGAGCGGAAATGGAGGGAAGCGAAGATCAAAGTGCCCCGCTTCGGCAGGAGGACATACCACTTCGCCGGGTACTTGGCTAAGGCCATATTTCAAATGAAGTACCCGGCGGAGAACAAAAGATTCCATCAGTTCCTCCTTGCCGCAGCTCGCCTGTACCCTCCGCACTGACGGTATGTGTTAAATGTATTGATAATGTGATTTGGTTATTATTAGACATCGTGCTAATAAGGGGTGTGTTAAATTATTTTGGGCAATCCTAATTAAGGCAGCCGCGGAAAGTGTATTTGAATTATTTAATAATGTTCGTACATGCCGGGGAATTTAATATTTTTGGGGACCTCACTGGCCGTGCTTTAATTCAAAATCAAAGGTTGCCTTTCTACAAATCTCGATGTCTGCGAGATTTCTGAAAACTAGGGCGAAATACCCCCACGGCAACACGGACACCGGCGCGGCGCATGTTGCAGCGGCGACGAATTTTCGTTCGTCTTTCGATTTTATTCCTAAATTTTAAATTTCTATTAAACTATTTCTCCCGTGGGGTCTCCCCTACGTGCCCATGAAGATTGAAATGTGTAGGCGACAAAAACGAAATTGGGGCGGGTGTCTTACTTATAATTTACCCGGCGGGGAAGTCTCATAACTGAGGCGCGACAACAGGAGGTTAGTACGTTTTAATTTGTTTTAAACGATAACCGGCAAATTGCACATGTATATTGCACGGAATATAAATCATAAATATTAATAAAATGCGTGTTACAATAAGTGTTTAATTAGAATTTTACAATATCCGCATTATTTAAAATTATTAACGGTTTGACACAAGTTCGTTGGTTATTGTTATGTTTCGGTATTCAGGTTTGTATGATTACGAATATGTGTTATAATAAAAAAATATTGTGTATCATATATCGATTTAGTCCGCATAACGTTTTGCGCTTGTTTAATTTAGCGGTGTTTCATTCGGCGTCCGTCTGACAAAGTTTGGCTCTTATTTTTTTATTATACGGCCTTTCTATTGTTGCCGTAATATAAATTTAGGCTCGTCTTTCATATAATTACAAATTTGTATAGATGTTAAAGTGGTATTTATTTTATTTAGACATTTACAGGTTGCTATTGACATCGTGCATCCCCCCCAACGGAGCTTTGTGAGGTCGATTTATCCCCCTCATCCCTCCCCCCTCCCCCCTAGGGAATTAGGCTCTGCGAGGACAACTTCCCCCTTTTGGAGGGGGGGTACCCCCCCCACATTTGGAACTTAGTCTCTGCGAGGGTGCGTCGCGGTCTTCAACAATTACCGAAACAACATCTAGAATCGTTGAAATCAGTAGATTTCATGCAGATAAATATCAAAATTAGTTCGAAAGTAAGCCCCTACCCTGTTATGCATATTGACAAATGTTCAGTTTCGTCAAATCCTCACAGACCGTCTGAAACCTAACATGGAGCCCAGATTAAGGACCTATCTTGACGCTAAAGTTTACAACACCGCAATCGTCAAAAACCATGTCCTCAAACTCGAACGAACGAACACCATACATAAGAATACACTATTCGCTTTCAAATATAACGCGCTGATCTCATTTTATCATATATACTAGCAAAATAGTACCTCAGTTGCCTCATTCTCAGTTCAAAGAACTCAAACCCCTCCTTAAACACTCACCAATAACCGAAGCTTCGAGATCGACGAACACCGCCCTCGGAACGTGCTTTCCCGACCCGGTCTCGCTGAAGAAGGTGTTGAAGGAATCGTCTCCGCTAGCTTTTCGGAGGCCATTGTGCCGTCGCCTGAATGCCATGTTCCAGGCAGTAGAGTTCCCAGCAAGAAATTTCCCATCTGTGTTCCGGCCTGGCCCACGTGGACAGAGATGCACTCGCGCTGTTGTAAGGGAAGCAGGTTTATTATATTCGCACGAGATTAAAATACCATTAGGTTTAGGTTTACCAAAAAAATAAGGATTATATGAGACTATACACTTTCATTCTCAAGTAAATTATATTGATGAAGGATTCCGGTGATCATGGTGAAAAAACTTTTGAGTGCTATACTGATGACGCAAAAAAAAAAAAAAACTAATGTGCAACATACACACTTTCGCATACATATATATTACTTATTTCCACTAGCATACAACGACAGACAATATGGTAATCTAAAATCCCCTCAGTGGCAAAATTCAAAACTACTTCCAAAGTTAATATAGTCACCAATTTCTGGTTTACGCTAAAATTACTCACCATTTTTCCTTGTTACTGCAAACTTTTTTAATGAACAGACGACTCTCAATAAGAGCACATAAAGGACGCTCTTTTTAAGAATCAATAAGAAACCATATAACGATATCCTCACGAGACGACGAACAACACCTTCCTTAGGACTGCAATTGCGGAATGCGGCTCCAGCGCGGTCAGAGAAAGACGATGGCGGGAATACACAGGCTTTCGGGCGCGTGACGTCACGGTACTGGTGCTTTGGCGAGAGGCAGTTACACGAAACAATGGGAGTGTTGTTTCAGAACGAGGTTTTATATGTTTTTTCTTTCTTCTTTTTTCTCCTTTTTAATTGCAAACTTTAGGGGAAAAAAGGTAGAACTGATTATTATCCTGTAAGTGTGGACTGTTTATCTGTTGCGAGTAACATCACGTAAACTAAAACAATAAAAATGTTCATCACTGTAGTTTACACCTTGTATTTCCAAATTACTTTCTGATAGTAAACGGTGCGGATGTTATCTTTACGTACAGTACACACACACCACACACACACACACACACACACCACACACACCACACACACACACACACACACACACGCACACACACACACGCACACACACACACACACACACACACACACACACACACACACACACACACACACAATATATATATATATATATATATATATATATATATGTGTGTGTG